TGCCTTGATCCCCCTCTAGGAAAAGGGCTGGATCCTGGCTGCATCTCTCTGACTGCAGCATGGCAGAGGACCAAGGGTGCAGCAGCGGGATCAGGAGAAGCAGGAGGAAGATGCTGCAAACATCCAGGCAAGCCATCTGCTGAATCAGGGAACTGTGAGGTAGAGAGGAGAGTGTATTCACAGGACCTGCACAGGTGCAGGCCAGATGGGGTCCCAATAGTGAGAGGGGAACCAGACATGAGCCCCATCAGTAACCCAGAATCTCTAAGAGGTAACCACTTGAAAAGGAAAAGTCAGCTTTCTCCAATGGCACCTCATTGGGTATACGAACCACACTTAAGGGAGGCCCCATGCCCAGCAGTAGCTAGTTAACACAAAATGAACTCAGTGGTTCTTTTGGAGATGTTTTATCTCAAAATGCTTTGTCTGGACATTTTTAACCTTACTTGTCTTTTCATTATATGTTACAGGCTTTACAGCTTTTGTGTGAGTTTGTGTGTGTGTGTGTGTGTGTGTGTGTTTCTCATGGTTTTTCTGTTTGTTTTGTTTAATTTTGGTTCACTTCTTTGGCTTGTTTGTTTTCTAGAGAGAAAGAAGGCATGGAGCTGGAAAGGTGATGGGGAGAATTTAGGAGGAGATGAGGAAGAGGAAACTTTGATCATAATATAGAGCAGGGGAAATTTTTATATTTCAATTAAAAATAAGTAAATAAATAAAAATGTATCCTATCATGTCATGATAGATTGTAATGTTATAACAGGGCCCTAGACTTTAGCACAACTGACTCCATTCTTAGAGGAGACCACTTATTTCATTCCCGGCTGCTCAGCCCTGAAATAACCACACAGAAACTGTATTAATTAAATCACTGCTTGGCCCATTAGCTCTAATTTCTTATTGGATAACTCTTACATCTTAATTTGACCCATTTCCATTATTTTATATTTTATCACGAGACTCATGGCCTACCAGCAAGGTTCTCAGCATCTGTCTCTGGCAGGGCTACATGGCTTCTCTTAGACTCCGCCTCCTTTCTCCAACATTCAGTTTAGTTTTCCCTGCCCTATCAACAGGCCAAGGTAGTTTCTTTATTCACCAATGGTATTCATAGCATACAGAGGGGAATCCCACATCACTCCATCAAAACCCATAGTTCTGGGAAAATCTCTAAATGTACTAACCTTGCTTTTTGGCTTCTGTAGTTCTGTTTATGGCTAAATTGTTCATGTTAACTGAAGTATGTCAACCCAGGATATGATTTTTTTTTTTTTTTTTTTTGCTTAAAAGCTAACCCTGAGAAAGGCTTGGGGCCACAGTGGGATCCCGAATACCCAGTGTAGTCACAAGCAGGCTAATACAGAGTTTCTATTGTCTTAAGCCCATGTCCCAGCAGCAGAAGGCCCACAACACTGGTGTTTGTACTCTTCACACCACCCCTGTAGACAGATAGCGTTGGCTGCCCTATTTCAGTTCTAGGTGCTCTTCAAGTACTGCTGTGAACCTGGGCTTTTTTTTTTTAGATTTTATTTTTATTCGTGTGTGTGTGTGTGTGTGTGTGTGTCCTCAGGGGTTAGAAGAGGGCACTGGGTCTCTGGAGCTGGAGTTATAGGTAGTTATGAGCTGTCTGACGTGAGTGCTGGGAACTGAACCCTGGTTCCCTGGAAAAGCAACAGAGGTTAAGCTCTCTTAACCTCTGAGCCTGGACTAACAACTCAGGGAGCACCCAGCCTAAAGCAAGACCTCCGGTTCAGATCAAAACCACACTCCTACTGGCCCTGTCCATGTTCCTCTGCAGGCTACTAAACTCCCCATGGTTGTAAATACTGCTTCATCACACACTCCACTGGTTCCTGATATCTGACAGCCTCAGCAGCATCCCCTGGCTTCCATGATGCCTGTGAATACTGGATAAAGATGCCTCCCCGTCTAAACAGCACAAGTCCACACCAAACTTCAGGGTGCAGGGCTGGTCCATGCAGGAACCAGGGACCTCTCTGCACCCTGTCCTGGATCCAGTATTCCAACATCTTCCAACTTGCTTAGTGCTGTGACTGATATTCTTTCTCTCTCTCTCTCTCTCTCTCTCTCTCTCTCTCTTTCCTTTTTTATCTCTTTCTCTATCTATCTACCACCTATCTATCTCTCCCTCTTTCTCTCTCTGTGTGTGCACAGGTGCGTGCATGCATGCATGCATGTGTCTGTCTGTCTGTTTCTACCTTTGTGTGTGTGTGTGGATGTGTGCACATGCATGCATGCATGCATGTGTGTATGTGTCTGTCTAAGTCTCTGTGTGTGTGTGTGGACATGCGCACATGCATATATGCATGCATGTGTGTATGTGTCTGTCTCTACGTCTTTGTGTGTGTGTGTGTCCTGCCTGCAGATAACAAAGGATGCTCACTCAGGAATGGCAGGAGATGCAGTAAACATAGGCATAACTGAGAGATTCCTAAGACTCAATCAGGCAAGGTTTGAGTCTGAGCACTTAAGAAGATCCCTACCAGATATTCAAGCTCTGCCGAAGCCAGTCGGGGGACTCACACCTGTAACCCCAGCACTCAGGAGTCTGAGGAGGACCACACCAAGCCCAAGCCTGTAATTCAGAACGATCATAAAACTTTTGAATTAAAAAAAAAAAAATTCTGATCAGCCTTTCCCACAGTGTGTACAGCCACCAGATGGCAGCAGAACTGCCCACTTCCAGAACTGACGATCAGATGACCAGGCAAGGTAAGGCAAGCCCATCATTGACCTTCAACCCTGTGGAGGGAGGGGTGCACAGGCATGCACATATGTACCTACATCCTATGAGAGGAAAGAGACAGACAGACAGACAGACAGACAGACAGACAGACAGACAGACAGGTGAACAGGCTGCTAGAGTTGAGTTCCCTTCCTTTGTATGTTTTCTCCTTCCCCCAGCTGCCCTTAACCCTATCCATCCTTGTCACAGGTACCAGTGGTAAAGGAAGAGTGGCTTCCTTCCCGCTCTGGAGGGGCTCCTAGAGCTGGAGCTAGAACTGGACACAGACACGTGACCCAACAGCACCGTGGTGCCGGCAGGACGTGTGCAGAGACCAAGAAAACACAGAACTGGAGCTGCCTGGAGGCTAGCGTGGGAGGCGCGTGGAAGGGAGCGGCACCTTCTCAGGTGTGTTACTTTCTGGCAAGTCTTGGGAGCAATGTCAACACATAGGCCGTCTCTGTTTCCTCCAGTAGGCACAGGGAAGCTACTCCAGCGCCAGTTTCACTGGGCCGGGACCGGATGATCTGGCCGAGTAGAGACCCGACAGACAGCAGCTTAGAGCTGGGATTTGGCTCCTGTGTACTCTGACAGCAACTGAAGGCTAAGAAGGTAGACAAGTCATAGAGCTGAGACTTCCAGCCCCGTTTGTCAGGAAGCAGGCGCCTCCTGCCTAGGCCCCAAGGAAAGTTCTGATGTCTCCAGCCCGGTGGCTTGCTTCTAAGTGTAGTCGAGGAAGACCAGGAAGAGTGAGACTTGGTCCCAAACCTCTCTTTCCCCTGGCCTGGGGGAGGAAGCTCTGCCCGAGAGTTGTCTGACTTAATAGTCACTGAAGCATAAGCTATTTCTTGCACATTACCCATTCATTCCACATTACTGAGTTTGAGGGACATAACCTGAAATTCATCTTCCCCACCCTGCACTCGGTCCCACAGCAGGGACCACTCTAGGTAGAACCCGACAGCCTTTATCAAAACCAGCCACAGACTGCAAGGTCCCCTTCAGAAATAACTGAAGTCAGCATTGCTTCACGCTCCAGCTGTGTACAGTCTGAGTAGATGTTTCCCTTCCTGCCTGACTTTGGTGGGACCTATGTCACCCTGTGAGATCCACACGTTTGGGGTGGAATAGGGGAAGGAAGAATACAAGTCCTATTCCAGGAATCAGTATGAGCTAGACTGCCCCAAACAGTGGGAGAGCTCGCTGGGCACAGAGCTGCTGGTAGCGACCAGCCAGCCGGAGATGAGGTGACACCTGCAAGTGAAAGGTTCCGGCGCCTGGGCACAAGACTTGCAAGCCAAGCAGAGACCTTAGGGAAGCTTGGAAGTGTGGAGTAATGGGGAGAATCATCTGGAAGCAGAGGAGATGCAAGAAGGAGGTGGTGGCAGCGGGCGTCGAGTGGAGGCCGGGGGGGGGGGGGGGGGGGGGGGGGGGGGGGGGGGGGGGGGGGGTCCGGTGGAGCGGCCCCGCCCCTGATCACTCGGGACCTCCGCGTCTCCTCCCCGGCAAGGGTGGAGCAATCGCCTCCAGCCCCGCCCCAGGTCCGCAGAGGCCGCCCCTCGGGACCCTGGTGCGGCCCAGAAGATGGTGGGAGGCCCAGCTGGTGCGTTATCAGCCTCCTCCAGGAGCCGGCCCAAGGCACCGAGCGGCTGACAGTCTGAGATTAGGCCCCGGGAGGGTCATTAAGCTGCGGCCTGGCCCTGGCCCAGCCTCCTTTCCTCCTGATCCAACCAGGCCGGCAGGTGGGAGCTGGCGATAAGGACGGACGGGGGTCTTGGCGGTTCTGGGGTGGGCGCTCGCTCACTCCCAGCCCCTGGTCAGGACCGGAACATAGAGTGGAGGAGGAGGACTGTAGGTCAGTGTCAGCCTAGGCCCTGCAGGGGCAATCACCAAGGCTCGCAGGGCAGGGCATCCCCGCATTTGGGAGGTGGGGACGGGCGACAGGGCTTGCTTCGGCCTCTCCTGGCAACATTTCACAGGTGGTTCTGTCGTGGCAGACTGGGGGCATAAAGGGAACTGAACTGAACCCACCTACACTCCCCACCCTCAACAACTTGAAGGAATAGGTGGCAAGGAACGTGACCATCTGCAAGGGGATCCGATCTGCAGCCAAAAGGCCCCAGCCTGGAGCTGGACCAAAGAAGGTATATTTGTGTCTTAAGGGAGAACTAGCCTCTACCATCCTGTCTCTCCTTCAGTGAGAGAAAAAAAAAAAAAAAAAGCAGAGCCGCCTGGTCCCCTGACTTTGCTTTCTGCTTTAATCAAGGGATAGCTGAGAAGAATAGGTACACACTCTAAACTGGCAGAGATGTGTCAGGGCTGCATGAGTTGCAGAAACCCGCAGAGGGCAAATGCCCAAAGCATCATCACAGGGGGAGCCATCAATTCCTTAAAGCTGAAGACCAGAGAGGGAAGGAGACTTGCCCTAGATCACACAGCAAGGCAGAGAGACCTAGAACAGAAACACTGCTCCCCCTTCTCTGCTCAGCTCTCCCTCTATTGCAGGCTGGCTCCTCAACCCCAGAGAGATGGTTTGTGGGTATTCCTTGAGACATTCAGGCAAGCCTTAGACCACAAAGTCATCGCTGTGACCGTGAAGCAAGGCACTGTGAAAAGGTGAGGTCGGTGGCAGAGAAACATCTGGAAACAAGGAGGCTCTGGCCGCCTTCTCCACACACTTCCGCTGGATCTGAAATGAGTCTGTTCTGGGTTATTGCCACAGAAAGAGGGACCAGTGTTGTTCAGTGAGACACACAGACACAGAGGAGCTGGGCCAGGCGGCACTTGCCTCAGAGCCTCCTGGTCTCTTCTCTTCCAGGATGTTTCCCTGACTGAGAGCTGAGCCAGGATACGGGTGAGGCCTGGGTTCTGTCTAGTCCATCTCAGCTCCACGGTTTTCTTTCCCATATGCTAGCCCAACACTCTGGAGCCCTGGGGAGGGGAGAGAGCTGGACAGAGTGGGTGGTGTGCTGTAAAGGAAAAATCCAGAAGGTCCAGAGCTTCCTGGGTAATCCATAAATCCAATGGCCATGGACCCTAGAAGGCAGTGATTGGGAAGAAATGGGCGAGGCCGTGCTTGGAGCCTGGAAGCTGGGTCTGAGTCTTTGCCCCAGAAGTATAAAAAGTCTTTATTTCGTAGAAATCAGGGCCACTTCCATAGTCGCAGGAGGAGGGAGATGAAAGGTGAGGGCTCCTCAGAATTGGGTGGAAGACCCCAGGGCCACAGTGCATCCTGTGCTCAGTTTGGCTGTGACTCACGAGAGCCGAGAGGGGCAGCTCTCAATAGATCCCTGCAGGGCAGAGATGGGGTGAAGTGCTGGCATCGACTCTATGTGCCCCATAGCCTGGGGACTGGGGCCATAGAGGAGCTTGTCACATGGGTGTGCTGCGGACCCTGCCCTCTTCCTCCAGAATGTTCTCGAAGGCATTCTTGTGCTCACTGGACCTGGAAAAGGAGGTAGGGCTTATGGGGTCATTGGCTTCCCTTCCCCCATGTCTTTCCTGCACCAAGGCCTTCTCCCCAGAATTAGCCTCTGGCTCCCAGAGAGGCAGGGGAGCAGAGAGTCCTTCCCCTGAATGTGCCTGCACTGGAGGCTCCTCAGAATCATCCCCACCCAAATGTCATTCTCCTCACCTGTGGTTTCTCCCCCTTAGTGGTTTCCCCACTAAGCCTCCCAAGAACCCCCTTCCCACAGAGTCTCACCCTTCCACTGACTTCCCTTTCTGCATTGAACACCTCCCCATGATACCCTTTACCCTTACCCCTGTCTGAGCCTCCTCCCTGAATCGAACCTTTGTCTCTCTGCAGGATACTGTAGTCCTCACAGATCATTCCTCACCTCACCAACCCTTCCTCTTTGCCTCACACGCCTTTCCCATCTGCCCCAGTAGCATCTCACCTAAAACCAGACGCCATTGAAGAGTATCTGCCGTCCATTCCCACCAGGACCCCGTCTGCCTTGCTTCCAACAATCATGACCATGTTCCCAGGCTCCCTGGAAATGAAGTTTGTCAGTCGCTCATCAATGACTGTCCGCTCCGCCCCATCTAAGAAGAGAGTAACCCCAGCTTTCCTCTGGACCCTGCAGACACCAGCTTTCCAACTTCCTCCTCCTCCTCAGGCCTCACCTCCTCCTGCCTGATCCACCAGGAAAGTGGGGAACACAGGCGGTTGAAAGACACTTGTCCTAACTCTCAGGTCTCTTTCCACTGCCTCCATACACACGACCTCAGCCCCATCATAAACCCAACAGGACTCAGAGTATATCCCAAACCAGGAGATGTGGTTAGTGGTCTCAGAAGGCAGATACAGGGCTAACAGCATTTCTAGCAGTAAGCGCCCATCTTTCACCCCTCAGACTGCTTTTGTGAGGGTCCCTTATACCTACTCAGCTTCAGGTATATGTCTTCAGACATCCCACAGGCACACCATACCAGACATGCCCCCCCCCCAAGTCAACTCAGTTTGTTCTCAATGTCATCTGCTCAGGGCGGGGGGGGGGGGGGGGGGGGGGGAGGGGGGCTTCGAGAGTAATCCCTTTACTCCGCTCTCTAGTGCCCCCTACTGCCTCCCTCTGTCAACTCCCAGCTTCCCTCCCAAGCAGCTCTTAGATTCACCCATCCCTTTCTGAAAGGCCTCTGTCCCCTCCAGGTCCAGACTATCCAGCCTCATACTCAGCCTCCTTTTGTCTTTAAACCTGCAGACTTCACATTCTGTGCACTCGCATGGAACAGCCAGGACTCTCAAGGTCCATCTCATCCACTGATCCCAGCTGCATTGCAGAAAGCGCCCAGTCTAGATCACTGATGCTGCCAGGTCCTTCTGACCGCCTCGGCCTCACACTGGAACTCTCTGTCCGTCTCCACCCCTGAATTCTTTGCACATACTCTGCAGGCCTTGCAGGGCTGAGGCTGGGTCCCTGGCTATCAGGCCACCTTGGTGAGACCTGGGAAAGATCCCCATAAGGCAGATGTAGCTTTACCCAGGGGGCTCTTGATCTCTATGCATTCATGCCTGGTACCAGTGCCAGGCCCCAAACTGGAACACCACCCCATCTTCTGACTGACTCCTTGTGTGTCAGGTTTTGGGGTAAACGTGCAGTCGGTGAAACCTTGCTAACCAACCCCCTTCCAACCCCAAGCCAGCTCAGGCTGTGTCGTGCACTCTGCACTTTCTTTAGGCTGTATTTGACTTGAATTGCTTATCCAGACTGTGCGCCTGTGAGGCTCTTTGCATCACATGTGGCTGACCTTCCAAAAGGATGGGAACTTCTATTTCAGGAGAAGGGTCAGTCTCCCATCCCAACCCCCATAGGTGGGGAAAAAATTGAGACACTGAGGAGAGAAGACATTTCTCCCAAGTTCCTGTGGGGTAGCGGGTGGATGGGGGAATGAGAGAGCCATGAAGTCAACAAACTGTAGGCCCTGGGAGCCAGACAGGCTGGGAGCTGGTTCTGTCACTAACTCTTCCTGAGAACCTGAGGACCAGTTAGTTTCCCTTCCTCACAGTGACAAGACTTTAACTGGAGCTCCTGAGGTCATCCCTTACTAGAATAAAAGCAACACCCTGAGCACTGAGGGCTTCCCAGCCCCAGGCCTTCTTCACACAGCACTCACGGCTCTTCCTGGCACCAGAAGTGGTTGACAGCAAAGGCGATTGCAACCAGGACCAGGAACACGGCCACAGCAATAAGGCCCTGCATCCAGGGCTGAAGGTTCCCCAGACCTGAAAAAGGAAATGGAGCTGCAGGGACAGGACAGTCTTGGGACTGTGTCAAAGGCCAACAGCCTCTGTAGGGCCAAGAGGGACATCTGAGTGGCTAGAGTGGACGTAAGTTAGTTCTGTCTACTCTCCTAAGAAGGCGAGGGAAGGAAGGGGGCTTAGAGTCTACTAAAGTCTGAAGGAAACCTAAGGAACCAAATAGGGAACACATGTCAGGGTTTGCTCTGAGGCCCTAGCTCCCAGGACCTCCCCCTGCACAGGCCCCCTTCAGTCACATGCAGGCCCCCTAGGAAGTGCAAGAAAACAGGGACCAAAGGGCAGCTCCAATGACTGGCCTCAGCCCTGTCAGCTGGGAGTGGCCTCTCCTCCTCCCCCGCTGGCCCAGAGTTGCCAGGCTAAGGCTGGCATCCGGCAGATCCAGTTCTTGAGCATAAAGCTTCTTTGGGAAGATTAGGAGGGGTGAGGTCTGCCCTGGGCTGCTCAGCCCTGGGCTCAGATGGGGTGCAGGGTAAGAGAGGTAAGATGGCAGGGGATGGTGGGCTCCAGATTGGAGCCTCTTCATCCTCTCCAGCAGCGTGGCCAGGATGCAAAGGTCAGAGAGTAGGTTAAGGTCTAGCCTGGTACCCCTTCTGCTTTTTCACCCGACATCAACCACAACCCTTAAAACTTTTCAGAAGCCTCTGCCCTCGGGCCACTAGCAGCCCCAAGGAAGACTTCTCCTCATTAGACCGAGGACCTCACTCTGAGCCTCAAGAGGAGAGAGGACAACAGGAAGCTTGGGAGAGCTCCTGCCTTCAGACAAGACACCTGTAAGACTTGAGCCATCCTACGTTATGAGAAGCTGGGCGTCAAAAGGCTTCAGCTTGCCTCATTCCAATGCCAAAGTCCTTCTTTGAGTCTACTTTGATATCTTCTGCTGCAGTGAAGACTTGCCTAGTCTTAGTACTGTCTCTGAGGCTGGCAGGTGTTAGGAAAAGGGAGGATCCTGGAACTCTCTGGTTGTAGCCATGGCAACCCTAGGTTAACAATCCCCGGGTAGCAGAAGATGCACAGGACGATTGCTCTGCAAGGGCCATTGTTTTGGGGTGCCCTCATCCCCACCCTTGCCAAGAAACACTGGCTCAGGTTCATCACTTCTTCTGGCCAATGATGCTCTGGCATTGGGAACAACCCTGGGAGGCCCCTTCCCCACTTCCTTCCTTGGTTCTTACAGCTAACTCCTCCCTCACAAGACACCAGGGACCACAGTCCTCCGTTCCTCCTCTTGTGGCTCTAGGGAGCAAGTGGTAGAGTCAAAGATGGAGAGGGGAATGGTCTGGGGCTGACCCATGTAAGTTACTGGACCTCTCTGGTACTTCAGTTTCTCAGAAGGCCTCTGAGACATGGGATTCAGAGGTGACACAAATATGCATGCACATCTTCGCCAACCCCGAGACACCAGACTACTGGGTACAAAGCCCTCCCAAACCTCCAACCAGGCAGCAGCTCTGAGAGATGGCAGGGTGAGGTTTACTGAGAATGAATAAAAAGACTAAGACTCAGAGTGGGGCAGTGATTTCCTCAAGATCACACAGCACAACAGAAGGAGCTTGGTGAAGAATATACCCATGGTCTGCTCTGGAAAAAGTGAGAAAAAGGGGGCTTGGGTCATCCAAGAGGCAGAGGCAGGCCATCTCAGTGAGTTCAAGGCCAACCTGGTCTACCAGGACAGCTCAGGGTAGAGAGACCTGCCTCAAAACAAACAACAACAACAGAAAAAGGACTTAGGCCAAAGCCAAGGACTCGGGACAGCTCCTGTACCACTACCAAGAACAAGACCGTCCTGCCAAGAGCAAGCATCTGAGGGTGCCTTCGGACCACTCCCAGCCTCAAGTTCCTAGCCCCTGCCCTCAGTACCCAGTCATCTCTGGGTCCTGCTGTGAGGTTTGGATCTCAACTCCTGTCTCTCGCCTAACCACCAGAGCCGACATGTTCCCTGTTCTCCCACTTCACACGGGAGAAAAACAAATCTCAGAGCCTAAGTCAGAGGAGTGTGTCTGGCCCAGTGCCTGTCCCCCCTCCAAAACACTACAGTATTGCAGGTCACCACCCCGTCCCACCCAGGTCACTGTTTTCCAGACCAGCCCTCTCCTCTCTGCAGTCCAGATGTTCCTGGCCTGTGCTACCTTGTTGACAGCTGGCAGGTGCCACTGCGGAGAGCAGACCCAGCAGGAGCAGGCTGAGGGCCAACATGGCTGCAGGCAGCTGTAGGGCCTTGGTCCACTGCTGGTGTTTGGACTCCCGGAGCTGCTGGAGGTCTGGGGTGTTCCTATGAGATCGGCTGGGGAGCAGTCAGGCTCTGAAGGAGAGGCAGTGATTGGGTTAGGCAGAAAGGGAGGGAGGGCGGGGAGGAAGAACTGGCAGGCTGGTGAAGAGAAACTACCCTTCCTCCTATGGAAATACGCTGCCAGGCCTGGCTGATGCCCAGCCCAGCAAATTGGCGCTTAAGGTACCCCGTCAAAAGCCAGTTAAGGAGGTGGGCCTGTGAATTGGGGAAGTAAAGGGGAAGTCCCAGCCCCCTCCAAGACCCACACTACCTCAGAAGTCGCCCTCAGCTCACCTTTCCTGGCAGCGGGGCTGGGCTCTCTGGGAAAGGCGGGACACATTTTCAGTCCGGCCTTGAATGGGCTCAGTGAGTGGGTGGGGCTTTTTGGAGGACTGATTGAGTGCGATTAAGACACTTGCTGACTGGCTCAAGGAGTCAGAGGAAAAGCACCTTCGTGGCCAAAACCCTCAGGGAAAGCTCACCTGCCCGCTTTCTCCAGAGCTGTCTGACATTCACCTGTTCTGACCCACCACGCCAGACACTGCGTCCCACCCCTGAGATACAACCTCACTTCACAATCCCCAACCCTGACCAATCCTGTTGTTCCCCCACGCCTTTCTCATAGCCGGGTTCCACATTTCCAGTCCCCGGTAACCTGGCAGGAACCAGACAAGATTTGACTTAGTCAGAAGCCTCAACGCCTGTCTTTAGATCCACCTCTATTCATCAGGGGAGGTTGTGCAGAACAGGCCCAGACTATAGCCAGGACTGTAGCCACAAGGTAGTTCTTCTGTCCCCAGACATAGACGCCACGAGCCAGGCCCAGCAGAAGCCCACCCCCTACTCCACAGACACATAGCATCCACCTGACCTTCCAGACACTAAGAATGACCCAAGTACCTATTGAAGTCTGGGGCTGAAGGTTATTATGAATATCATTGCCCCAGCCACCCCAGAATACCGGAGTTGAGGTGCTAGAGCAGGCTAGACCCATTTCCTAAGGAAGGGAGGGGAAAGGATTTCTTGGCAGTCCCTGTTGCTTGCATTGGTTCCTGAAAGGTCACTGCAAGCAGGTCTTCCCTGTGGTCACTCGGGTAACAGATCTTCTGCTGTCTTGGCTCCAGGGAGGTACTCAGGTACCTTTGAGAAACCCTAGGGCACAGGCACACGTCCATCTGTCCTTGAGTACAGAGCGTGGAGCCTGTGACCCAGGTCCCACACAAGTCTACCATCCTGGCTTGATCGGGTTCGGAAAGGATGAGTTTGGAAATAAGATGGCTAAGAACGGGTGGCTGTGACATTAAACCCTGGCAAAGGCACTGTGGATGGTGCGGAGCCTGGACTCGGAGGACTCCTGCAGCACTGCTCGTCCTGAGTCACACTTGCCAGCAGGTCCTAGTTCCTGTTTAAAGAGAAAAGAAAAAAAATCAAAGGAAAGGAAAGAAAGAAGAAAGGAAATGCTGGCAGATCAAGAGAGGCCCAGAAACCAGGCGGTGGTAGTGCACGCCTATAATCCCAGCACTCAGGAGGCAGAGGCAGGCGGATCTCTGTGAGTTCAAGGTCAGCCTGGTCTAAAAGAGTTAGTTCCAGGACAGGAACCAAAGCAGCAGAGAAACCCTGTCTTGGGAAGAAGAAAAGAGAGAGAGAAAGAAGGCTCAGAGATGACAAAGTTGGTGTCCAGAGACAGGATCGGAGGCCTGAGCCTGCTTCCTTTGAGTGTCTGCCTACTTTCATGCATGTGAGCCTGTGACCGTGTAACAGTGGGTTCTTCTCCAAGGGGCCGTAGGGGAACTCTTCATGGGCTTGAGTGATACCATCCGTACATGTATAACCTGTTTTTAACATGGCCTGAGGGTTTCAGAAGCACTGAGGAGCAGGCAAGACAGGCGTTAATGAACAACCAGGGAACCGCTGGTTGGAATGAAAGGAATGGGGCGGAATTTAACAAATATCCACCAGGCCTTCCTCAGTAGTTTAAAGCAGGGGGCTGGGGACCAAGGTCAAATCCTCATCTGAGAAAATGAAAAGGTAATCATAGGTGGGAGAGGCAGACTTAGGGATGCAGGGCCTGCCACCACTGACTGAGCTGCTTTAGATGGGGCTTTGAACAGGGCTTGGGAGGTGGAAAAACCAGGGAGGGTGTGGGCACATGACTAGATGGAGAGGAGAGTGAGTGACTCTCAGGTTAAGTTTCTGAATTGAGCAACTGAGTGGGTGGCAGTGTCTCAAGATGGGACATGTGACGTCCCAGGATGCAGTGTGTGTGTGTGTGTGTGTGTGTGTGTGTGTGTGTGTGTGTTGAACTGAGAGATCAAACACAGGTGTTTCAAAGAAAAAGGGGGCAAAATGAGGCAGGAAAGTGAAATCCCGAAATAGAGGGATACTCCAGCAGCTGAGGGCAGAGATACAAAGAGAGAGGTGTGCAGAGAGGTTTCTGTGGTGGTACCCACTCACTAGCTTATGCCCTCAGGGAAAACCCCAGCCTCTGGTACCGGCATGGGAGACCCAGTCTCTTTCTCTAAGCACCCCCAACTTCCCTGAAACCCCAGCAGGAAGCAGAGACTCCCAGAACTATACTTTGGGCACAGTAAGGGATGATGAGTAGAAAGAACATCAGGTGACCAAGGGAAGGAAATAGCTCCCAGGTCAAAGTCCCAGGCTTTAAAGCAAAAACAAGTTGTTCCGGAAAGGAAAGCGGGTGGAGGGATGGGGGTGGAGGGGACTCTTTGCTTTAAGGCTAGGTCCCTGATCCCTGGAAGTTCTCACTCAGGGAAAGGCTTGTCTCCCTAGGCTTATGAACAACATCCCTGTTCCCAAGGTAACAAAGGGGTCCCTGGTTGTCTGGCTGAATCTCAAATTTTGGGTGGGTCTCAGCAGCTCTTACGGCTGGACCCTGGATCCTCACCTCAGGCAGCTGTTCCATCCCACACTCAGTTCCCCCCTCCTGTTTCTTGCCCAGCTCTCATCTGTTATCATCTGGCCCCTAGACAAACCTTCCACCATACTAGAACTGGCTTATCCTCAAGAGCGCTAGTTTCCCACATCCCTCCCTCCTTTCCGTCCTCCCTCCAACATCTTACCTGCCATTCTACCTACTGCCAGAAGGTGGCACTGTGTGGCTCCAATCCCAGGCTGTAGTGCTGGCGACACAGTTCACCAAGGAAGATTAAAGAGCTTCCCTCTCTCTAGCCGCCCCGACTCCCACCCTGTTTCAAGGGTGGGTTACAGGAAGGGAAATGAACACTGACATATAACCAGTCAGTGGAGATGGAGGCGTAGCATGTGTACCTAGAGTTCTGATGTAACAGAAAGTGACTGAATCACCAAGGATGCTTCCTTCCTGCTGGTGATGCTCTGGGGTGGGGCGGTGTCAGACAACGCAGAAAGATATGATGGAGACAGCCATGCACATAGAGTTCAGACTGAGAAAAAGCCGGGTGACACATTCAAGAGTAGTGTTTGAGTTCGTTCGTTTTTGTTGCTGTTTTCCCCTGTGGTACTAAGAATTGAATCGAGGGGCTAGTCCATGCTAAGTGAGCACTGTGCTACATCCCCAGCCCTCGAGGTGGACAGATGTTCAACATACAAAGGTAAAAGTCCTCTTCACTCATCCTTGTGATATCCTTCCTGTTAATCTTTGCTGAAAGCCTGAAAATTCATGGAGACTGTCTCATTTTGGCCTCTCCTGGTCCATAAAATAATGTTCAAACTTCTGCCCAGGTGTCTGCCTGAGGGGCAGGGCAGTCAACCCTCCTCTTCATCCTCGCCTGGCCCAGGGTCTCCTGTCCCCTGACCTGATCCACACAGTACACAGCCCTCTGCCTGGAGCTCTCTTCAAGTTCCTCCTATCAAAGTAGCCTCCCAAGTCTTGCTTTAAAGGTCAATTTCTCCAGGAAGACTTCTTTGACGTCCGTCCCCTCACCTCACCTTCTCCGGAGTCCTCTCTACTCCTCTGTTCATGGCTATTCTCACAAACTGAAATGCCATATGGTTGACGCGTTTGTGCACCTATCGCCTCCAAGGACAGATCTCTCTCTCTCTCTCTCTCTCTCTCTCTCTCTCTCTCTCTCTCTCTCTCTCTCTCTCCACACACACACACACACACACACTTTTAAGATTTTACCTCCAGCACACAGCATGAGCACAATGCCTACATCACACACTCACATACATTTTATGATATTAAATCAGAATATACAGTGCCTGGTCTGACAGGGTAGAAGGTAAGGAAGTGAGTGGAGGGATAGTGTGACGTGACTAGCTACAGGTGGGCCCTTTGTCTTCCGCTACTGCTAGCTCTAGGACAGTGGCCCCCAGAATCTCTGTGGATAAGTGAGGGTATTTGGAGCTGTCCAGCCCTAAGGAGAGAATGTTTCCGAGGGAACTGAACTATCCCTATAGAAGTACCAAGGAAGGCAAAAGACCATGTCACCACAGTCACCCATGAGGGTGTCTGCGGAGGGCTAAGCTAACTGGTTGGGGAATGGAGGCTCCTCTCCACGCTCAGAGTATTTCACTAACTGGGCTGCCTGCTGTTAACACTCCCTAAGGCTTGTGAACTTGGGCAGGGGGTACCACATCTGGCTTTTCACTAACCTGCAAATGTTGCAAGTTTCTTCCATTCGAAATAAAGACTGCAAACCACAGTCCTCAGATGCTGTCCTATCTGTCCTATCAGCTGCTGTGGGTATTTGACGTATTTATTATTTGTGTTTATCAGTGGGTAACCATAGTAGTCACTGAAGCTTCCACAAATCCGGCCAAGTGCATTTTTAAGGGTACACTTAAATTACTGTATCACAAACGTACCTTTAACATTTTGATAACTCTGTTCCAATACACTTTGCTTGCTGTTCAGTAATGTACATTTTATTAGATGCTTCTGAAAACATTTCATGGAGAAAGAGACCTCAGGGAGCTAGCAAGATGGCTCCTTGGGTGCTGTACTTGCTGTACAAGCCTGACGACCTGAGTTCCATGCCTGAAACCCATATAAAGGTAGGAGAGAACCATCTCCACAAAGTTGGCCTTTGACCTCCATATGTGCACTATGGTTTGCTCACCTCCAAATACACATCATGCACATGCACACCCCCCACACGCACACAAACAATAATAAATAATAATATGTAGACGAAAGAAGCTGTAGGCTTTTTTGAACCATGGCACAAAAGAGTTAAGGAGTCCTGACTCTTTGGTGAATCTGCGGCAGGTCTATTCGAGGCCATGCCATGTGATCTCAAGATCAGACTTGGAGAAAGGCTGGTGACTCTCTGGACAGAGGCTGTCTGGTACCCAGAGGGGGCTATGATCCGGACGGACAAGTACTTGGCCTCACAGGTGATCCCAAAGCTAGGAACTGAAAGACGCAAAGGGTACGAAGCCCAGAACATGTAGAGCCAAGGAATGTACTGGCGGCTGCTTCTGAGTCCTAGGAGACCCCAGTGGGCCAGAGAGATTTATGGTGAGGACCCCCCAGAAGAGAAGATTAATCACATTCTCCTATTGCCTCCTCACCCAGCCCAGAAAGTAAGGAGGGGGCCAG